GGAATATCCCAGAAATCCCTTGACCCTTAGAATTTACACTCAGGTCACTGATTGTGAACTACGGGTATTGAAGCACATTATATGGTCGAGTTAACTCTTAATATTGAATGTATGATTTTTCAGAAAACACATCCAAATAAATCCGCAGTAAAGTGGTCCATTGAAGAATGTTAGCATTCAGGGGGAGAAAAGGCGAAATGCGGACAAGTTTACACTCGATCTGTAAATATATCCCATACAACTCCGATTTTTTCCCCGAAAATTTAATTTCAATATATATTTCCAAATTAATTTACGTAAAGATGTGGTGCTTTCGATATCCAAGGGACAAAAACGGTGCTTTCCTGGAATATTTGCCTACTGCTCACTTACAATCTTCATCCGTTCAAAAAAAGATCCTTCACAATACTCTCAGAATCGCTTAAAGAAGCTCTAAGCACTGCTCACTAAAGAGTTCAAATTCCATGGTAGTTTTATGCGCTTAGAGTGATCTGCTCTTTGATGTGAAATGGAATACATGGAACTCTACATTAAATGACCCAATTTAAAATAGATTAAAGCATTCTTAATATTATACTAGACCAAGATAAAGTAATTGAAAACATTATTTTCAAGTACTTTTCCAATTTAAGTAAACAGAGGTGATTTCAGTTCAATAATACTTCATTGTCTTCGAACAGTTTTTCTGGAGAAATACGGCAGGTACCCGATGTTGAAAATGAAGTAGAAAAATTCAATATGTACATCTTTTTAGTATAAAATTTTCTCAAAGTCCGAAAAAACATTTTATGATTGTTTTTAGAGCTTCCTTAATGTCATGAAGTTGCTCAGCTCTTTTTAACGCCTCCGTAGAGTGTCACAATGATAAATAATATATGATTGGGGTATACTAAGGGTTTTAAATTCATAAACTATTCATCCCTTTGAAAGAAATCCTCTTAAACCCCTAAGCGCCCCATCCATCTGGTTTAGTCACCGTCACCAGTATCGTATTATGACAATAGCCAGTACAAAGTGCATTGAAAAAAATGTTTTAGGTAAGATACAAAACTCAGATGGTCTATCATGTCAGATACGGGGCTGAGACTCGGTGCTTCGTACGTCGTCCCAGTCCCGTATCTGACATATAAGACCATCTTCGTCTTGTATTTTAAAATGACCGGTCATGATCAGAAACAATTATTTAAAATGTAAGTTACATGTATATAAATCTGAAACTGTAAATAAAAAGTACTTGTATCTACAAATTGCTGGAATAGAGATTATTCTGCGTTTTCAGAAATTCCATTTTCTCTCTTCTATAACATCTAAATACCCCAAAGCAGAAAAGACCCAACAGCATTATTCCTAACATTGACCCAAAAATAATGGCTAACTCGTGATCAAAACTATCTGAAGTATCCTTGCTGGACACTGCTATTTCGGACACATGTTGTGTAGTTAGTTTTGTTGTCGCTATTGAGTTTTTATTAGGGGTTAACGTTTGTGATGAATTTGTTGTTTTTCTTGTTGGTGATTCTGGTGGTGTTGACATTGTTATTTTTGCCTGTAAGGTTCTCAGTGATGAAGTGTTGGTTGCGTCTGTTGTTGTCTGTGGTTGTACCGAAGGGGTATTCATTTTGCCAAAAAATGTTCTTGTTTCTTCTGGTAACAGTGATGACTTTGATACATCGTCCACTGTTGTATCAGTGGACCTTTCTGTTGATGTCTCAGTTGTTTCAAAAACTTTATAGGTAGGTAATGTCTCCTCTTCAGTTGATAATAATATTGTCTGTAAAGCAGTATGATCAACCAGGCCATGTGCTGGCATGTTGTTGGTAGCAACTTCAGTGCTTTTTGTATATGCTGCCTCTGATGGGACAGATGTTGTACAGTTGATAACCTAACAAAAGACAATAGTCACAAAGATCTGTTAAAAAATTTGTAATCTAAATACATATTCATCTATGAAAATAAGTTAATTCAGATTAATTTCATTTAAGTCACCTTTCCATGTGGGGTTCCAGGGTCATCAGCTGACCTCTTTCCAATGATGTGGCCCTCACCTGGAGGTGCCACAGAGGGTTGACAAGGGTCACTGATACTTTGATCCTGAAGAAAAATAATCACCAGTGTTAAAGATGTCGGTCTTCGAACACCCAAGACTAAGCTAGGAATGAGCTCTCTAGAACAGATTTTGCGTCTGTGGCTTACAGACCCTTTTCACAAGTTTCAAGTATGCTAAAGAGTATCCTGTCATCTTAATTGATAGATATGTTTCCTTTTGGCTCCGGGATGATGTTACAAATTTATTAAAGTGAACGTCAGATCGGTATTTTTAAATCGGTCTGGTCAATGATATCACGTAAGACTCTTTAACAAAGTAAAAGGCAGAGTCAAAACTTGTGGAACCTCTTACCTTTATGAATGATATTAATTATCATCATGAGTCATGGGTCGTCACTTACCTTAGAGAGGGAGGGAGTTGTTAAAACAGACAAGACAAGAAAGAAGATCGGCACACGGACAGCCATCTCACGAGCAAATGTTTCCTCATGCCTTCCTCATTGCAAAAGATGAATCATATTGTCGAAATGATGATATTATATCCTGAATAACATACCCTATATACTCCAGGTAAAAAAGGTCTTACTTTGGCTTTCCTGTGTCAGGATTCCAATGTTGTCAAGTTGTTGCCAGCTACATTGTACATTGGAAAAGATATAAAATTTAAAAAGACATTTTTTATTCTTATCTTATCAAATGGTCAATGATTTTAACATTTTTCTGTTTCCCCTTAAGGTAGTTAAGGTTCACTTTATCATTACAGGCGTGTCTGTAGACTGTAGACCAGTTGTTACCACCTCGCACACCGAAAGTTTCGATGTACTCCATTTTTGTGAATGGTGCATGGAGCTGATCAAAATCACTTGGCCAGCAAAGATATTACATGTTACAGCCACAAATAGACATTAAACACAATTCAACTGAAGATATGGTCAAACATTAAAGAGTGTTTACTGGCTTTTTAAAAAAGTTTTTCAGCAAAGAATTTGATTCTCTCCCCCCCCCCCCCCCATAAGCTGTAATAGAAAACTCCGGGATGGAGAACATTTGAATTGGATAGGTAGCAAGTAAGTATTGGTTTTTGTGAAAGATGTGTGCATTATTGTTTAAGTTTTGGAAGTATAAATTCATGCAAATTTGTTGTGGTTTGGCAGATGTCGTACTTCTCTTGAAAATTCGGAAAAATGAGCCTGCTAGACGATTCTTTACACACGCTTTTTTTTGTCGCCCGTGTGGCGCAGTGGTTAGAGCGTCTGCTCTAGAGTCGCGGCGTAAGGAGTTGATCCTTACGTCGCGGGTTCGAATCCCACTGTGGGACGTGGAGACCGGTTCTTCGGATGAGGCTGTATAAACCGAGGTCCCGTGTCGCAGTAGGTCTGGTGTTGGCACAAAAAAGACCCCTCACTGCTCAATGGCCGTAAGTGCCGAGTATAGGACAAAAATTTGCAGCTCTCCACCGGCAAGTGGTGGCGTCTCCATATGAGTGAAAAATTCTCGAGAGGGACGTTAAACAACATACAAAACAAACACACGCTTTTTAAAATCTCTGCCGTATTACGCTTAAAACATTTGTGTCACGTCATCTTTTGTTAAGCATGGTCCAGTAAATTTCTTATTGTCCCACACTACGTCCAGTAAGTTACCTGTAGGTGTCTTATAAGGTCAAGCTTATTGGACAGCTACATGTAACACTGAAAGGGAGATGCAGATTCTAGTAAATAAACAGCACTGAAAGGGCGGAGATTAAAAAAGCGTATATAAAGAATGGTCTTGCAGGTTCATTTTCCCGAATTTTCAAGAGAAGTTGTATATCTTGAAACAAAGTTTCCAACATTAGCCCTACTTCAATGTATCTTAAGTTAGTATTAACTCATAAATGATCTCACAGTCTTTTTTTTAAGAAGATGGACAAACAAGGCAAGCGGAATGCTTATAGTGCGACAAACACAAAATTGAAAAAAATGAATCTCAATTATATCAAAATTTTCTTTGATATTTCATCTAACATTAAAGTATACTTATATGTAAAATCTTCTCTATTTGCAAAAATCTCGCAAAGGTTGAAATTAATTGCCTATGAAATACCATACACATACTAAAGAGGGTAAAAAGGATCATTTTCTAATATTGTTACACAATTTTTCGATATTAGCGGGTCTTCGCTCCATTTTTTCGATAGTTTATCCTCAAAGTTTGCGTAAATATGTACAATTTTTAGTTAAAAAAAACATGGAGCGAAGACCCACTTTACCTTAAAAATACACTTTTAAGACACGAAATTAGCATCTTTCCGAGAAAAACTTCATTTAGTCAAGAGGCATATCACAAACATAATATGATATGATCAATGCCACTTTTCTTCAGGAGTTGTGTAGCGTTGGGATTAGCGTGTTAGTCTCACAGGGAAATGATATTCAGGATTTTTATTGTTACGGGTTGAATCCCACGGATACAACACTAAAATTTCCCTCGGAAAGGTTTTGTTCATCATAATTTCAGAAATTTCAATAGTGAGATCTTCAATCTGAATACTAAATTCACATTAAATGATTATGATTTTTATGTATCTGAAGCTATTGGCATTCTACACGCCTTGTTAACCTATCTCCTTTCAAAATACATTATAATAAACTCTCTGTACTAAAATAATAAAATATATAAAATTCATAAAGGAAATATGCCATGTAAAAACATACAATTTTTACAAACATTTTCAGTCGTAAATTAATAGAATGTTATGGACAATCACATCAAAGCTTACAAAAACATCATTGGTGAGAACGCCCTTCTTAAACATTCCAAATGTCTAAAAAGCTTTTTGTAGTTAAAGCTTTCCAAGAATGAAGAAAAATCAAATAATTTTTTTTTTGTGAAGTCCTCTAAGTGTTTCACATTTTTGCAATCCGGCATTCACACCATATCAGAAACTGGTCATTCACGCGTCGGTCAGAGACACCTTCATTAGAATTTAGACATTTTGATGGAGATGTCACCCCCACCCTCTATGTACGATTCCTCCTTGTCTTTTTTGTAACAGCGGTAAACACAGAAGATAAATATAGCCAGAATCATCAACCCCAGCATCACACCAAATATAATGGCGAGTTCATGATCGTAGTTAGTAGATGTACTGCTGGCTGGAGTACCGGGCTTTGGAGGAGATGAATGAGCATGTGTTGTGGATGACTCAGGATGTTGTTCGTTTGGTGCAGAACTTGGATTGGTTGACAGTGAGTTTATGACAGGTACTCCAGGGTTCTGCGAAGAGGTGAATGTATTCCTATTTAGTGTTGTAAGTTCTGGAGTTGATGATGATATTTTTTGTATTGTAGTTGTTGGTAATGCTGTTGTTATTGTAGATGGTGATTGTATTGTTGAAGTTGGATTAGTCTCATTTGATGTTGAATTTGTTGTGTCCAATGTTGAATTTGTTGTTGTATTTGTTGTTGAATTTATTATAATTGTAAGTGTTATAGTTGGTGTTACAGTTTTCCTAGCAAGTGTAGTTAGAGTTGATGATGTTTTTGAAGTTGGTTTTATAGTTGTTGTTGTTGCTATAGTTGATGTTGTAATTGTAGTTGATTTTGCTGTAGCATGTGATGTTTTTGAAGTAGATTTTTTTGATGTTGATATAGTTTGTGATGTTTGTGTATTTGGTGTCTTCGTTGTATGTATTGTTGAAATTTCTGTATCTACATCTGGTAATTTTGTTGTAGCATCTGTTGTTGTTATTGAGGACGTTAAATTCTGGCTCTCAGTAGTTGTGTTGTTCTCTTCTTTGCAATCAATGGGCTGGATAAAAAAAGGAAAAGTCATACACAGATTAATATGTTAAAAGTGTCCTTTTCCGATCTCATTTTGAAAAATCTCACTAAGATGAAAATAAAACCAAATATACACAGGTCATAGGAAAATACTATAAAATAAATTCGTTTAAATTCTGCTAATTTTGAGAAAATAAGATTTCTATATATCAACTGTAACGTGTATTTTGTTTCAGAAAACAGAGATCAGGTGTAATCAAATTCAGTAAAAGAAAACAGCAAAGTATAATTTTCATCAATAAGAAGTCTATAATGAGATTGTAGTTCTGCTTGTCTGAAATTATACAAAAATCGAACTATATAACTCTTGAAATTATTTTTTGTATTATTTATTTGAAAGGTTTCTTATTGAAGCTTAAAATTGATTTCTTTGTTTTTGTTTGCTTGTTTTTTGTCTTTTGTGTGTGTGTGTGTGTGTGTGTGTGTGTGTGTGTGTTTGCAACAATATTCATTTTATGCTTCTTATTTTGGTGCAAGGTACTTTGTTGTCTTGTGAAAAAAATGATTTGTGATCCTATAAAAGGACCAAACATAACAATTTTAAAGAAATCAAAATTCTTTTACACTCGCCTTATTAGTGGTGAAATGAAGGGATTTTGATACTCTGATAATGAGAGTTAACTCTTAATAGGATAAAAATCAATTATCTCTTTATTTGAAATTGATTTTTTTTTTTATAATACCTATAGTTTTTATCCTAAAATGTATTTTTTGATCAATTTTCAACTATAGAGAATGTCTCATTGATACTTTTATTCATATTTCCTTAAAAAATATTTGACATTTTATAAATTTCCCTATATAATATTGATTGATAATATGTTGTTTAAGGTAGATAGTAAATACAAAACACCCATGAAAACTGTTTTGACTAACTTCTTATAAGTACACTAGAAAAAAAGAACAATATCACTATAATGTCAATAATCAATGATCTTTGTAAAGAAAAGAATAATCTGTGACACTTTTTTTGCCATATTTTACAAAAAAATTAGAGAATCCTACATACTGGTCATTCGAGTGCCTACATTTTAGAATGTGTTTATGTCATATACATGCAATATAACAGTCTGTTATATAAGATGCAAAGTGACTTTTGATCCATTTATAATAGAGTCCTGTTATTTGGAAATATTTATAAGGAGTCTCCATTCTATAAACATAATGAAGGTCAAGGTTATATTTAGAGGTCAAAGGTCAAATAGAGTGACGTAATCTACTGATTCATTGAATATTTTTTAAATCATCAAAAAAACCAAAGTCCCTTGTCACAATAGGCGTCGGTACGATAAAGAACCCTCACTTCTCAATGGCCCTGAGTGCCGAGTAAAGGTCTAAATTTGAACTCCTTCACCGGCATATGGTGACGTCTCTATATGAGTGAAAAATTCTTGAAATGGATGTTAAGGTAGTACACAATAGATAGGCCAAATTTGTCCACAAATTCAATATTTTTGAAATTTTGTTCCAGGATACAAAATCTCTCTTTATGTGTAATTTGAAAGAAATTCAAAGAAATTCAACCGCACATTTTTTGCCCACATAGTTTGAAATATGCCCTTTCAGACCCCTTTAAGAAGATTGTGAAGTTGGACTTTGGACTGACTTTAGAATATGCATTTTTTTTAAAATTTAATGATCAATGTATTGCAGATTTGTGTGATTTTTTTATAAATATAACCTTTCTAATACTAAATTTCAGTAAAGTATATTGATACCGGTATATTTAAGTAAAATGAAAAAATAGAACAAGCATAGACCAGGAATTGAAAATTCACATGAAAGTATTCTACACTTTAAGTTTTGTTAAGAGAAAATGTATGATTCAATTTTTACAAAAAATCAACAGAATGATTAAAATGGAACCCAGATTAAAATGTGTCAAATGAGGAACATTGAACCGATAGAGACGTCACCATATGCCGGTGAAGGAGTTCAAATTTAGACCTTTACTCGGCACTCAGGGCCATTGAGAAGTGAGGGTTCTTTATCGTACCGACGCCTATTGTGACAAGGGACTTTGGTTTTTAAGGTCTCTTCCGAAAGATTTGTGACTTTCAGTTCTAGTGCCGGTGTACCGTGGAATTTTGACCCGGTTTGAAACTGATTAGGGGGGTCTTTGCTAACGTTGAATATTGAGACCATCAGCGTGTTGAAAATTGAGCCGAAAAAAACGGGTCAAAATTCAACAGCATGAAAAACATATCAAATAAATTGTTTACAATTATGATTTATCTATTTAAAAATTACACATGTAACGTTATATAACATATGCATATATTTTTATTTCAACATGTTGGTAGGCGTCAAGTGATGAAGGAGGGGGGGGGGCACGGGGTGACTTAAATTAATGGAACTCTTTCGCGGTAAAGGTAGGAAACGTCTGTTAGCTGGGGGCAATGTGTTGTTGCATACAACGCGATATCAAGCATTGTGGCAGACATGAAAGAAGTCCTGGTGAAATATCTTGCGGAACATTCGCTGAACCACGCTTATAGCGAGCGCCGCTCGTCACTGCGAGCTCTAACGACAACGCCTGGGCGAAGAGAAAATTCGGACTACAGCACATTCATTCCTTCAATAGAATTTCTTTCCGCAGTAATTCTGGACCCACAATGCATCGCTTGTTGTTCTCGCTGCTAACTTCGTTCGAGCGGTAACAACAACTAAATATTCACAAAAATATAAACTCACCTTAATTTAATGGATATTGCATACAGATAGTAGATTAAACATTCTTTGTTAAAATCTTCGTACAACTTTGTTTATGGAAATTACAACTAACATACGACGTCATGTGACGTCACAGTCTAGACGTTCCAAATGTCTCATGCGGTAGCACCGTCAACATATTATACTAAACATTAGGAAACAGAGCTAATTTACGTTTATAAAGAACGTCACTCTGTTGACTTTTTTTCTCTATTGTTCGTCAATGAATTTTTGTTCAATTCCCCCCCCCCCCTCCCCCAATTCTACTGATTTATTCACTGAATATATTTTTATTCTTTTCATTAACATGAATACTGATGATTAATTCGAAATGGTCAATTTATACGAAACATGTAGTACTTTAGAAAGGAAGGTCTCAATTTTTCTGAAGACATCGCATTATTTTATTTCTTTTCTAAACTGTGCTAAGAAGGCTTTATTATGCAATCAATGTTGTGCTTATTTTTTCACTTTACTTTATAATAGTAAACGTTTCGCATATTATCGCCACAGGCAATACTAGAAATTTTTATATACCGGTGGAGGGACAATCTACAAATCTTATCAAAAAAGGGAAATTTCGTTCTACAGGGTCGAAGGGACAGTCACAGTCTGAAAAAAATCAAACCTTCACTAGCTCCTTTTTATTTGTCGCGTGAATAAAAAGGAGCCAGTGAAAAATTTGATTTTAATCAGACTGGGACAGTCACTACCTATGTTAACGTCCTAGGTTTTACGCTTCGCGGCGAAAGAGAATCGATCTCCTACCACTAGGCTACGGTACCTCATATGAAAATAATGATATTTGGGTGCGTATCATTACCGCTACATTTTCAAAATTGTCACTACCGCTACATACCTACCGCTATAGAAAAGGTTACATTACCGCTATATTTAAATGTATACATTAATGCTACATTGCCTCTTTCGTTAGCCAGTAGCTTATGCATGTATATTTAAGAAATGAATTTAATTTTTGAAGATTCATGAGGACATGAACTACGACGCTTCACGCCGGCATATTTCATGAAGCGCGTTAGCGCTTCATGATAAATATGCCGGCGTGAAGCGTTGTAGTTCATGTACCTCATGAATTTTCAAAAATTAAATTTATTTCTTATATTCACATTATTTTCTGATGAGTTACCACAATTAAAAACCGTCATTTTTAAAGCAAACAGTTTGCACTATAGTTTTGACGTCAAGTACGGTATTATGACGTAACAATGGAGATATTCATGCTCATCCACGGTAGTTCATGAGAAAATGAACAGTCTTCTAATTTGTAAAGAATCTTAAGGAAAAATGTTTGGAAATGTAAATATATTGATTTAAAGTACAACATATACCAGTCATTCTACAAAAACATGACCAATTAAGAATTTTTTATGTGGCTTACAAATTTACCGTTGTAATATCTTAACTATAAATTTAAAGATCGATTTCAACTCTAAGACTTAACATATACACATGGTTTTGTAAATATTCATCGATATATAAAGTTTTGATGTGAACAAAATGTCTCTTAAAAAATTAACTTCCGTAACGATAATTCAGGAAAGTTTTTGCGTGAAAGGTATATTTTTTTTTAATTATTATTTTGGGAGCGAATTGCTTCATACTTTTGTTTAATATCCTAAAACGAATTTTGATTTTAACTAATGAAGAGAATTTTAACTTTTATTACTGGGAATTAACTTCCGTACCGATTAACTACGTAACGATATTTTTCCTGAAAATTTAATTTAAATTGGGATTCAAATCATACTTTAGCGTTATTTACTGAACATCAGAAACAAAAAAATGGTCAAATTCAGCTTTATTTAAAAAATAATAAGGCTTGATCAAGCATTAACTTCCGTAACATTACCTTAAAATCAATGGTATCTTGAAATTGTTGTAAAAAGTTAACGATACCAGATTTGTGGACAATTCTTTGTTTTCAAGTTCACTGATATGTCCTTTAGAGAATTATGATGTTCATTTTGGTATTTGAAACAGCTTTTTTTTTCATGTTTTATACTCTGAATTGGTCCATTTATCGTAGAATGACTGATATATGCATAAGACCTGTTTCCCCTGCTCACCTTTGGAAGGTGAAAGTAGGACATTGAGCAGGATTTTTTTCTTCATTTTTTTTTTAAATTTAAAATCTATTTTATTTATTAAAACATTTCAGAAAGTTTTAAAGACTAATCCTGCATTGCCGCGATTTGTCACAAACTTCTCAATAGTAGCCATGATTTTCATCTGACGCTATAAATAATAATTATTGTATTT